ATATTAGAATAGACCCTGGGGTCTGACCGAACCCCTAGGGACCTAGTTTCTTAGTCACAGCTTGGAAACAGTTGAGATCCCCACCCTATAACCATATAGACAATTGCCGATTACAAAGAGATGAATGCACATATGCTTCCAGGATGGCCTTGGGGACTGCCCCACCCTTGGAGACTTAACCCCTGGGTCATAACTTTGAAATGGTTAAGATCCCCACCCCAAAACTATATATACAATTGTTGGGCATAAAGAGACAAATGCAGTCATGATATTAGAATTGACCCCAGGGTTTGCCCCACCCTTGCAGACTTAACCCCTGGGTCATAACTTTGAAACGGTTGAAATCCCCACCCCAAAACTATATATACAAATGCTGGGCAAAAAGAGACAAATGCAGTCATGATATTAGAATTGATCCTGGGGTCTGACCACAACCGTAGGGACCTAGTTTCTGTGTCACAGCTTGGAAACAGTTGAGATCCCCACCCCATAACCATACATAAAATTGCTGGGCATGAAAAATTGAATACAGATATATATGCTACAAGGATTGGCCTTGGGGTCTGGCATATTCCCTTGGATCTCATTTGGAGAATATTCAGCCATGATTGCTTAGATATCAAGGTGAGCGATACAGGCCCTATGGGCCTCTTGTAAATGTCTGTGTGTATTACTAATGCTTTGTGAATGTTAAAAACTAGAATGTTAGAGCCAAAAAATAAGGAAGTGGAAATAAAAACAAGTGGTTTTCTTACTTGAGTGCTTTAAAATAAAAGTCATTAACATTTTGTATGACTGAAAATTGGTTGAAAATCTTACCGGTAGAATTCAACTGAAACGGGATAACGTTTTAAAATTGTTAAAACTACATGGTAATTGTTTTTGACCTTATAATTGTCACCCCATTTCTTATAAGGTTCCCTATCTGTAAATGTATATTGTAATTGATTATACTGAAAAGAAACGAAAAAATGGTACAACTTTTGTCTTCCTGAATATTGTATGTGTATGTGCATCAATTTCTCCAAAGAAAAGAAACACCCATTCTCCTGTGGGATCAGGTGTATTTTATATTGAAACATCGGTAAAAACTAGCATTCTTTTCAAAAAACGAAAAACGAAAATGCTATTATTTTTTTTAAATCATTATGTTTCCAATGTACATGTTAATGATATTTTGCTCATAATAGATTCTGTTTGAGTTATGTTTATCCTGAACAAACTGCTCCCCACATGGATAAGGTCCCAATCCATAGCACTCTCATGGTCACACTTCTACTACATAAGTCCATGTGGTCGTACATTTTATTAATTCAAAATCGCCACTTCAACAATTTCATCGTTTTGTTATCGTTGAGGATTCTGTTTACTATACAAGTCCATACATGTAGTAGTATCGATGTGATAACAGTTAACTCGACCCTATTATATATAACAGTTAACTCGACCCTATTATATATCGTTTATGCTGAAGCTACGGTCATGTTGAACAAGAGCTTGTACCATATCTGGTCTCGGTCATCGTGTTATCATTGCTTTCTTCTGTGCTGTACCATAAATAAGGCTTGGATAGCTTTCTCCTGGTCTCTTTGAAGTTCATGGTATTTTGCCTTGATTTTCATCTACATGTTTTCAAATATCAGCCATTATCCAGGATAACTTGTGCACAATTCATTTATAAACACAATTTTTCGTTGTCAAACATGCAGTTCATTGATGGTCACCCGAATAGGAAATAAAGACCTTTTATTCAAAAGAATTGATATCACATTCTTTCACTTACAAACAAAGTTACACATAGTCCTGAAAGCTGTATTTTGACCCACAATTTCATAAATCATAACAGGGTAACTCAGATGATATATTTTTAAAAAATGACTAGGGACATATTTTATTAATTTTCGATATATACCTCATTTTGTTTTGGCTTGAAAATATAGAAAGAGCCTCTTTCATCTATCACATTCCAGACAATTGAGTTGTTCGATTATAAAATAGGGGAAGACTTGGTGATTTGATGCTGCTTTCTGACAGGTCTTGGCAAAGACTTTCAATTCCTACATTAATATTTGAAGGTCTGTGAGGCCTTATACTTGAAATTAGGAATTTGAAAAAAAAAAAACCTGATGTGTCCACATAAACGAACAGGCTCTAGGATTCAAATGAGCAATATAACGAATGACACACGTACTTAAAATATTTGGCATGTTAGATCAGTTCCCATAGTGTGAAAAACTAGGTTGGTATATTGTAGACATTTTACTTAGGCTGTCACATTGTTATTTAAAAATTCTCACAAATGGATTGCACAAATTGTAGTACTTCATAGAATCTGTCCACTTTTGTAAAAAACAAAAAAATACTCGCTTAGTGATGAAACACTGTAGTCTGTATATACCTATAGTTTAATTATTTAGCTAAGGGTGGCCAAGCTGCACCTTACAACATCGTGGCCATCATGTATCATATGTATATTTATCTTCTAGCCATTACATACATGTTTTAATGTCTCCCAATCTGTGGACAAACCATAGTAGTTCCTTGTATGGTATATTGTAAGTGTCATGTCCTCATTAACTAATATGTAATCATAATGAATATGAGAATATCATGAACAGGTAAGAAGATACGCTAGGGATGAAGGGTTGATAAGTGTAAGTTTTCAAACAGAAATATCTTCAATAAGATTCATCAGATTGGAAATATGTGATATCAAAGTTTTATTTTCTACACAAACAATGTATGTATTAAATGTGTCGCAACCTATCTGATGCAGTGTTTATATGCTCCCTATCAATAGGCGAAATGTCCCGGGTCGAGTGACATAAAAAATATACAATTTCGTTACATCGTTGTACAGGTAAAAAAAACAAATCACTTACTCAGTCAAAGCTTGACAAAGGGACCAGTCGACCAGTGCGACACGTTTAATACATACATTTTTTGTGTAGAAAGTAAAACTTTGATATCTAACAGGAATTTTGTTTTAAAATTAAATTACAAAACTATCGGAAACTTTTTAAAATGCTTTAAACTGATTATCTTATAACATGAACTGCATTAAAAAGTGAGCAATTACTGTAGAATAGCAGATTTGAATTAGCAATTACTGTAGAATAGCAGATTTAAATTAGCAATTACTGCAGAATAGCAGATTTAAATCAGCAATTACTGTAGAATAGCATATTTAAATCAGCAGTTACTGTAGAATAGCAGATTTAAATCAGCAGTTACTGTAGAATAGCAGATTTAAATTAGCAATTACTGTAGAATAGCAGATTTAAATTAGCAGTTACTGTAGAATAGCAGATTTAAATCAGCAGTTACTGTAGAATAGCAGATTTAAATCAGATTTTAAATTACTACTCAGAGCTTACTTGAGTATCATATTAGATAAGGATCTGATTCTATTTGTTTTGCTTTAATTGTATTGGTTAGAAGATAATCAGAGATTTGGTAATTATATACTTGTTTTGTCCTACATAATAGTATGTATATTCATTGTCAGTAGAAATAGTTCCTGTTTGATCTTACATACAGTTTCCAGGGCTTTCAATAAACACCTGAGAGTATGTTTTGACTCTTGAGTTTGGAAGGAGATGTCTTTTGACCCTCCAAAATTCATGGAAAATTATATTTGACTCTCATCCCTGAAATTGCTGAATACCCTGGTTTCATCCCTTCATAGGCAAACAACTAAGAGCCTAACCTGGAGGATTTAGAAAATGTTGAAGAAGTTGCTGCAACAGTTTTATTGGTTGTTTTGTCCATTACAACAAGTTTTGAGTATTGTACTAACATTTTAGTTTCACCGACCATTATTGCTTTGAATTTTTTTTCGCAAATGTTTTGAATTAAAGAAA